TCCAAACACTGGCAATTAGTTTTGGTTTTGCGCACCAGAACATGCAGAGCGCCAGTACTATTTGTTTATAATTTTTTTTCTTGATAAGATAGGAGTTTAATGATAATCGGTTAGGTTTGTTGTACTCACATAAATGATTAAATTTAACGAAATATATAGTTTTTGCAATCATTCGATTTATCAATGAGTGAGTAATAATCATAGCTGAACGACTTTTTTCTACCCTACCTTACTGTATGTTATGTAGAATTAAAACATCTTTTATTTTGCATAATATAAATGGTTCTTTAAAAGCAGAATTAATTATCCATTAAGTCAGATCAAAGTTAGTGAATGTATATCAGTATTTATTCATAATTAAAGATACGCATATATGAGATACTTTTTAATTAGTTACCAGAATATATTTCTTTTAGAAAATATTTAAATGTTTATAAAAGTTTATGTTTACACATCATCTCCGATCACACCATCTTAAGCAGATATGCCACAACTGTTTAAAAAACAGTTGGAACACCCTTTCAGACATGAACTTGCGCTTGCTCTATCTTTACAACTCTATTTTAAATTAACTTTAGAATTTAAATGATGTGCTTAGTTTGGATAATGGAAAAAAGTTTTAGGGTTACGTTTTCGAAGAATGATGCGATTACAGATATAGTAAGTTGGAGAATTTATATGAATCCTTGTTTTAGCATATAACATGTTGACCAGAACTATGAAAAAAATATATATGTGTAAAACACGATAAAATTGATAAAATATAAAATTCTCTCATTACAGTGAAATTTTCTATCTGTGGGGTAAATATGTGGAGTTTCGTCTCTGATTTTGCCTTTAATGTGTCATAAACATCTGAACAAACCTCAAGCAGATATTCACACAAGAGTGTCAGGGGTATTAAATATCAGTTTTTTTTTTTTGATCAAACATTTTAAATTTATTTAAACTTTTATTTAAGATTATGATTGATGCAATTTCTGATTGCTTTTAATTTTATATTATATATATTAAATTAGCAATCACTTCTAAAAAGGGTTGATACATTTCTATTTTGATAATACTCAAAATCTGTATTTTTTAGAAAATTACATATTTTACACATTGGCAAAAAATTTGCCTTAATTGTATATTGATATGAAAATGTTAGGTACTGCACATAAGCATCTGGTGTTTTGTCCAAATATTTTAAAAATTTAGCAAATTCTTTCCCAGTCGAAAATTCATCCGCTTTTATGAAGTGCCTAGGGGGAGCAAAACGCTTAAAATCCACTTTGCCATATACAATGGGGACAATTCGATTCTTGAGTGCTAGGTAAAATATATTAGGCACATTGTCTTCACAGTTAACTTCTGGTGAGATCAGTATGAATTTATATACTGAGGATAAGTATTGAAAATCACAATTTGTACAGCTAATGATATATAAAGTTCAGATTATTATTAGTAAATATATTTATATTCATTTTACTTACATATCAATTGAAATAGAATTATTAAATTGTTCGATCAAATACTTATAATAGCTACTCCAGCTGTTTGTTGGGAAAGTAAAGATCAGTTTATTTTTATTTTGAGCAAAGATTTTCAGTTTTTCTATATCACTTTCATTGACAGTTACTGCGTTGTCCCAATTTCGTTGTAACGTGGATGTTACTAAAGTTGAACTTGAGTTTATAATTGTAATTTCATAATATGTCCAAACTATATCAGAATTTAATTTATAAGACATTAATATATCATAAGAGATATTTGTAAATTCAATTGGATCGAAATTTGGTGGAAATGCACCCACATACAGTTGATGTGAGTAACGATGAGGTGCAATGGCATAATCTTTACCAAGACCATCAATAACAATTGCATCAAATTTATTGAAGTCAATGTTATCTTCATAACTAAATTCAATTATGCATTTGCTTCTTTCACAGATATAGGTATCACCAGACTGTGAGGCCATTTCTCCAAACATATGTTTGCTCTTCCATAACAGAACATGCTTTGTCCTACCAAATAATTGTGGATTTTCTGCGGTTGAGTTTAAAACATTTAACAATGCACAAACTCCAATCATCGAAATTACAAGTATTCCGAATAATATAATATATTGAAAAATTTTCCGTTTCCGTTTGATTTTGCGGCGTATTAAAGCTTCGGACTTTTTTTCAGTATTCTTTACTAAAGACCACTCATTATCGGATTTGAGTTCAATATCAACTGTTAACATTTTAGTCTAATTTCCTTAAAATTTTGGGTCAATCGCAGTTCAATTGAAAGTAAAAACACAATTCATACTAAAGATAAGAAATAACTTAGACAATAAGTTGTACCTCCAACCATTGGAAAGCAATGTTTGTTTGGCTCTCAAAATACTGAGAACGCTAATACAACTTATATTAAGTATTTTGTTTGATTTGATAAAAATTTGATGTTTATAGCTTGAGTTAATTTAATAATTTGTCATATACAAAAATTAAATTTAATTAAAGATAAAATTATAGTAGTCCTTCTGTCATGACAGAGTATGATTTCTTATGCCCTTCATCTCAATTGCAAACATATCTCATTTTATTATATTGTGACGAATGTATTAGAATATATACAGGGTTAGCTGTCTTGTGTAAACATAAGTAAGACACATAAGTGATTGAAATGTTGTATATTCAAAGTCAATATATTCATTGAAGCTTGCCTTTAGGAGCGAAATATAACATCATTTAAATATTAACCGAGAGATATAAACTGACATATGTTCGTTTTCAATGGCAAGACTTTCAAGATTGTCCCTCACAAAAAAAGTTCAGTAATCACAAATCGCATTAACTTGGAGTTCAATTCACTTAACCAAAACGATAAATTAAATAATCGATAAATTTCAGGTGCAATATCAGAAAATTCTGCGTATCTTGTAGCACCAGTGTAGTATATTTTTCAAAACAAGCCACACTATAGAGCCATACAACCGATGCAATGGTCTTCCAATAGTAACTTGTACATGATTAGAATTGATTATTACTTATCAGTATTATTATCTTATTGTCATATATATCGGTAATATGTGACTCAGTATCAACAATATCAACTAATGAAATAAAATTAGAAACAAAATGTACTAAATCTGGGTTACTATACTAAAATTGTAGATACGGAAAATATTTTAAATACAGATACATGTAGCTTAAACGATATTAATGTTTTATATTTTCTTAGACAGCTTTTATTTCCCAAATTTGTAAGTTAATATAATAAGATTTAAGGAAAAAGTGCTGCAATGTGGCACATTAATGTTATACACTAAAATTGAATCATTTCATTTAGAGGTTGAAAACCATTAAAAGAAGCTGTGTGTGACTTTGACTTACATAAATTACTTTTTAGAAATAATTTAATGAAAATAACACATCATTTAGACAGTTAAATTTCATTGTGCTTTGAGTTCCTCTCTAAGATTTTGAAAACATTACACAATGATTCAAATATATAAGGTGCTAATATTTAAGTAACTTATGTCGGAATAGAGTTTTAAGATCTTGAATTTTTAAGGTCACACAAAAACATAGAATTTGTTCTGTAAGCGTTCTCCAGACAAGGTGGACATATGCTGCTGTCAATTATGCTAAGATGCAAAAGAAGCAAGGGGTATGGTTAGTACTAACATATAAATGT